AGCCTGGCAATGCTGCAAGATGCAGGTGCCGTCCCCCAGCACTGCCCACCTCACCTCCACAGGTGGATGTCGAGCGGCTCTTCAGCAACATTGGGGAGATCATCCGGCTGCACTGTGAGCTGTGGCGCAGCGTCATGGCCCCGGTGCTGGCCAAGGCACGACGGACTGGGGCACTGCTTGACCCCATTGACTTCCTCAATGGTTTCAAGACGGTGAGTGGGGACCCCAGGCCATTGTGGAGGGCAATGCCATGCTGTGCCCCATGGTGACCCCTCTGCGCCTCCCAGTTCGGGTCCCTCTTCAAGCCCTACGTGCGGTACTGCATGGAGGAGGAGGGATGCATGGAGTACATGCGGGCACTGCTGCGGGACAGCGAGCTCTTCCGCACCTATGTGACGGTAAGGGGAGAGTGGGGACCGGGGCTGGGACTGGGGCAGTACTGGCACTGACACCTGCATGCCACAGTGGGCCGAAAAGCACGAGCAGTGCAGCCGTCTGAAGTTGAGCGACATGCTGGTGAAGCCCCACCAACGCCTCACCAAGTACCCACTGCTCCTCAAGTCCGTGCTGAAGAAGACAGATGACCCACGTGCCCGTGACGCCATTACCACCATGGTAAGGGTACGGGGGTGGGGGGCAACAGGGTTGGTCCCCCCAGCCCCTCAAACCCACTGCCAACCCCTCCACAGATTGGCTCTGTGGAGCGTTTCATCAATGACGTCAACTCACGGATGCGCCAGCGGCAAGAGCAGCAGCGCCTGGCCACCATCCTCAGCCGCATCGACACCTACGAGGTGGTGGAGGGCAGCACAGATGAAGTGGACAAGGTAGACTGGGCATGGGGGAGCTGCTGTCCTCTGCCATGTCATGCCATGCCACGCTATGCCATTTAATGCCACTCTCTGCCACACTGCACTACCAACCCTATGTCACTTCATGCCAAGCCACCCCATGCTTGTCATGCCATGTCACCCTATGCCATGTTATCCCATGCACCCCATGCTGATGCTGGTGGCTCCCGGCAGCTACTGAAGGAATTCCTGCGGCTGGACCTGACAGCCCCCATCCCCGGCACCTCCCCAGAGGACACCCGGCAGCTCCTCCTTGAGGGCAACCTGCGCATGCGGGAAGGTAAAGACAGCAAGGTGAGGACTGCAGGGGACGAGGGGACCTCGGCTGCGGCCCCTGCCCACCTGCCCTCACTCACTGTGCCAACCAGCAACCACGGCCCCACTCTCACTCCCAGATGGATGTCTACTGTTTCCTCTTCACCGACCTCTTCCTCATCACCAAGCCCCTAAAGAAGGCTGAGCGCACCAAGGTGGTCCGGCAGCCCTTGCTGGTGGACAAGGTTGTCTGCCGAGAGCTCAGGGACCCAGGTGAGCAGCACTAGGGGGAAGGGAGTCTGCAGAGGGGGGTCCCTGATGTGGCTGACAGCCTCTGCCCACAGGCTCCTTCCTCCTCATCTACCTGAACGAGCTGGGGAGCGCTGTGGCTGCCTACACCTTCCAGGCCAGCGGGCAGTCTTTGTGCCGCAGCTGGGTCGAGGCGGTGCGCAATGCCCAGGTGAGGGGGTATGGGGCTGCGCAGGGGACCCACAGGTGCCCTGTGCACAACCTGGTCCTCGCTGATGCCTTCCCTTTCCCAGAACCTGCTGCAGCAGCTGCGGCAGCGCCGGTGCATGGAAGAGGAGGAGGAGGAGGAGGACGGCGGGAGCGGCACCTCAGCTGCCAGTTCACCTACCATCCTGCGCCGCAGCAGTGCCAGCCCAGACTCACAGCAGTGGTAGGGAACGGGAGGGAGGCCCTGCACACCCCTGGCCTGGCACAGCCCCCTCCTCACCCTCCTGCTCCTACAGCCCCTCTGACGGTTCCACTGAGACGCTCGCCATGGTGGCAGCAGACGGCGGTGATGAGCTCTCCTCCCCAGACTGGGACACAGGACCCTTCAGATCGACCTCAGACAGCTCCTCCGTTGGCACCAGCACCTCCATCAGCACTGGCACCTCTGCGGACACCTCCACCGAGACCCCCACCCAGGAGCTGCCTGCAGGCGCTCTGCCTGTGCCCCTGCCCCATGGCATGGCCTCCCCGGCTGGCGGCTGCCGCTCGTCTTCCATCGACAGCGCCTACGGCACACTCTCACCTGCCTCACTGCGGGACTTCAGCCAGCAGCCAGATGGGGTGGCTGAGGAGGGGCGGGAGCCCTCCCTGGCCCCCCCAGCTCCACGGCCCCCCTCACCACGGCTGCGCCGCCGCACCCCAGTGCAGCTCCTGCCCTGCCCAGCCAGGGTGCTTAAGTCCAAGTCAGAGGCCAGCCTGCCACAGCTCCTGTCCCCCACTTCCCCAGGCCCCTTAAGCCAGAGCCGCAGCCTCTCTGACCTCTCTGCTGGCTCCCCCCAGACTAACCAAGCCCCTGTGCCCCCAGCTGCCTCTGGCAGCAGTGGCAGCTCCACGTCCGAGCTCTCGGAGCCTGAGGAGCCAGTGAAGAGCCCGGTCTCCCTCCCAGGGGAGCTCAGGCGTGACCCCCCACCTCCTGCCCACCGGACCCTCTCAGACCCGCAGTCGGCACGGCACCGCAAGCTGACGCTGGCGCAGCTGTACCGGATCCACGCCACGCTGATGCTCAACTCCACGCTGACGGCCTCGTAAGCACATGCTGCCTGTTCCCAAGGGGTGCCCTGGCCCTCCTAGGGGCTACCCAGGGGCTGGGTCCCAGCACTGAGGGCATCTCTCCCCACTCTGTGCCTTGCAGGGAGGTCTGAGAGCCGCCGGCATGGAAAGCACAGACGCGCAGATGCACCAAGGAGCTGCTCCTGCTTCTAACCATAGCGTAATGCCAGGGCTGGGCAGAGCGAGCACTGGGATGCCACGCTGGTGGGGACATGGATGGGGATGCAGACCAGTCCCCTTGGCGAGGATGTGCTCTGGGCACGGCAGTGCGGGGCTGGACATGGCACGTGGCTTGTGCTGGACCCTTGTCCACAGAGACGAGAGTTGTTGGGCAGGGGGCCCTGGGGCCGTGGGGGGCTGTGGGGGGCTGTGGGGCAGCTCCTGTGGGCGACGAAGGGATGACAATGTCGGCAATGGTGAGTGGGGAAGATGCTGAGAGGGATGCAGTGCCAGTGGCATGGTGCTGCAGGCGGTGCAGGGAGGAGGCTGGGGCTGGTGGCAGAAGGGGACGGTGCGGGGCTGGGGTGGGTTTGCCCTGTGTGGTGGCAGTAGGTGGCAGTGCCCAAGGCCAGAGTATGAGAGTTGTGGTGGGAGCCCCCCCATGCCAGGCTGCACTCCACGTCCCAGCTGAGCAATAAACCCAGCTGGTCCCCACTCGCGCCCGCCTCGCCTCTCCTTCAGCCATGGCAACACCCAGGGCTGGGCAGCACCGGGGTGGGTGAGGCAAAGCTGAGGGAGCCCCTCGGGGGCAGGTGAAGAGGGGACTGGGGCCAGTTTCAGCCTCCTGTTCCAGGGCTCAGGATGGGGATGGAGCCCTGGGGTGAGGGTCAGCGCTGCTCCCTGCATGCTGTACATCCCCCCCCAACCTCCGCTACCCTGGGTTTGTGCCAGCGGGTGAGGGAGGGCGGCGGTGCTCCTGTCATGTGGTTTCATATCCCCTGGACTCATTTCCAAAAAAGCATTTCCTCCTGCTGCGGTTGGGTGTAAAAGCCTGTGTGGGGAGGGCTGGCGCTCACTCACCACGCGTTGCGTGCTGCTGGCGGTGGCCATGGGGTGCCGGGGCACCCTGCCTGAGCACTGAGCTGCCCTGACACCCAACCGCGCCCGCCACCCTGGTCCCCTCACTGCCCTGGCATGAACCAACCGCATCGGCCACAAGGATGAAGTGTTGCTGCCCTGGGGTGGCTTGGGTGAGTGTGCCGGCATGCGGGTCCCGTGGAGCCCTGGCACCAGCTGTGGGGTGTCCCAGGGCTGTGGCTGAAATGGGTCTGGAGGAGGGAGGGAGGAAGGTGGAGTAACTCCAGTGCCGAACGTTTCAAACACGCTTGCCCCTCTGGCTAACATCTGGGACTGGTCTCTGCTGCACCGAAGCACCCGTGGTGTGGCTTGGCTACAGGGGCCACAGGCATGGCACAGCCGCGAAGATCGCAGACACGGACACAATGCGGTCGTGGAGAGTGTGGGCTCAGTCACGGGGCAGCAGGTAGGGCAGTGCCACGAGGACTGGCTGTGCCGACAGCCCGCGGG